AAGTTTGAATAAAGTGATCCTTGCTATAACTTACTAACTGCACACTTTAAAACCCTTCACGTTTTTGGAGGTGAAGAGAGATGGAGTAGACAAATGTACCTGTTAGTGTTTCAGTTAATGCTTGGCTCTGGTTGCTGAAGAGCTGCTTCTTTATGTTGTTACTGCAGTCTTAGGGCACCTATACACGTGCCCCATGCCTACTCCAACACGTTCTAATTGGAACGCATCAGCGCAGGCTCAGTTAATCACGTCTGCTGGAGCGCGCTAGTTAGCACGCTCTGCCAGCCTTGGCATCGCATGTATTCAGTGTCCTTGTGCCTCAAAACGGCAGCCAGGATACTTTAAAACTCGTTGAATGAGCCTCAGTTAAATTGCCCCCACTGCTATTTTGAAGCGTGGGATGCTGAATACACAAGACACTACTGGTACTTTAATTAGAGCGGCTCCTGGAAACCGCTCTAATTAAAGCGCCCACCCCAGAGCATGTGCAAAGAGTTCTCAGAAGACTGAAACTTTTTCCTTGGCTTAGTCCCCTCTCTGCTTCAAAGATGCCCCTCCTTGCTTCTTGGCTTAGTCCCTTATTGTGGTTTGTTATCTTAAAAGTAGAATCCAGCGCTGTGTGTTGGACTGACTAGTCATTTTAAATTTGTGCTTCTAATGTTTTTTAAATATGGCATGGAAGTTGAATTTTTGCAGTCTGGGGGTCCCAATTCTTTTTTTTTGACTACACAAGGAAGTGCCTTCTGCATCCTGAAAGGAATGTGTGTGGTGAGGTTCTCAGAAAAAATACAAACTGATATTTAGGTGAGGATTTTAAGAACTTGAGTTCTGAAATAGTGTCATGATGGCTCGGTATATGTGTAAAACTCTTTCCTTTTTTCTCTGTCTTGGGACACAATAGCTGTGGACTTACTGGAGAAGATGTTGGTACTGGACACAGACAAACGAATTACTGCAGCTGAAGCACTAGCCCATGCCTACTTTGCTCAGTATCATGATCCAGATGACGAGCCAGTGGCAGACCCCTATGACCAGTCCTTTGAAAGCCGAGAACTTGAGATTGAAGAATGGAAAAGTGAGTCTTGGGGAGCAATCGAGTCAGATTCCCACTCTTGCCAGGCACCTGAGCTTACCGTGAAACAGGAGCTCGTGCGGTAGTGGAAGTAGACCTTGAGAGGTGGGAGCACAAGAGGAACTGCTAGAACTGTTGTGTGATTAGGGACCTTTTAATTTTGTTGCCTCTTCACTCAGTGGAGGCCTCTTATACTGTTCCAGTAGCAAGCTGCGTCCAGAATGAATGCAGTCCTTGGCCTGCTAGCTCTTTATTACAAATATCAGCTCATGCAGGCAGTTATTGTTCATCCCAGCAGAAGTACAGCTTCCCTGCGCTCTGGAAAGACCATTATTTTGAATGTTAGCCTGAACTGACATGACCAACCATTGACTTTTTTTTTTGTTCAAGTTATTTTTATGGCGTGCGTTTCATTTTGCAATGTGGCTAGGAGGAATCCATTTAACAGCTACAGTTCCTCAGGGGAGAAATCACTGCTGTATTTCTTTCTGTACTAAGTCTGTTTCTTTTCTTCTTCCCTGCAGGCCTCACTTACGATGAAGTCACGAGCTTTGTGCCACCACCGCTTGACCAAGAGGAGATGGAGTCCTGAGAAACTGCCTCTCTTCTGTTTGTCCCACTTCACTGTGAGGGGAAGGCCTTTTCATAGGGACTCTCCAAATATCATTCAAGTGCCTCTTGTCACAAAGATATTCTCCTTGGTGAAGGGGTTTTGTGTGCGTGTGGAATGGGGGGAGGGAGAAAGGTCGTATGTAAACATGCTGCATGCTCTTGTATTCTCTGTACAACCTGGGACAAGCCTCTGAAGTCCTGTTTTGACTGCTTTTTAGCCCTTCCAGAGAGACCATCGTCAACCAGTTTGCACTGCTGCCGAGCAAGTCAGGGAAGCCGATAGTTAATGTTTCGTCACACTTGTTGCCATTTAAATGGTTCTCTTGCAGTAAAATGACTTCACAGATCATGGAAGGCTGGTTATATGCTTGGAGAGTCCTCTCTTCCGCAGCAGCGGAGTAGGGGTGAGGGATATCGTTTTTGTTTCATGCCAGACGGCTGATCTACATCCAAGCTCTCTTCCCAGCGCTGCATACAACAGAACATACAAGCCTGTTGATGACTATCTCTGCTTGATTCTTGAACACGAGAAGGATTTGTTTGAAACTGTAAATATGTTTGTGCCTTAAATGGATGGAGAAAGAGAGTCTGGAATTAAGTCTGGAGTGGAATTCGGAGCCTGCTGCTCTTCTGGAAGTGAGCCACAGGGTCGTCAGGTCCAGGCACTGTCACCAGGAAACAACCTTCCAAGGCACAGTCCCGTGACCCTAGGTTGGGTATTGCCATACTTCTCCCTCTTCCCCTTCTCTTGTCCTGAGGCTTCCCAGCATTAAATCCTGATGGGCACAGGCAGAGGCTGGAGATGATTCTTGCTGTCTGTACATATTTGTGTACTTTATTCCTAAACAGGTGGGGTATTTTTTGCATGTTGTAGCTGTATGTGCATGTAGAGCTACTTGTTGCATTATCTTGGAGGAGGGTACTGGGGCAGTAAGTCTGCCAGTGACATACTGTACTGAGTACCTCAGCCAGTGCTGTAGGAAGATCACAGCATCCTCCCTCTCGTTCTGCAACTCGGTGTGAACGTACCTGCCATTCTGGATGCTGTGATAAGGACGGGACAGAAACTCTCCACTCTTTTTGTTCTGGCGTTCGTGGTTTCAGAAAAGAGATATTTTTGTGGGGTTAAAGTAAAGCAGGGTCTGCAAAAGAGTACATATAGCCATTTAAGTGCCCAAAGTTCAAAGCAACTTCCTCAAAAGAAACACTTAGAAATGTTGTATGCCAAACAATGAATAAGCATGCATGAAGCCAGAACCTCCCTTTCACTGTTTGTATCTACAGCTATATATACTGCATAACACTTTATTAAGGTGGGTTTATACCTCATAGGACAAGAGCTTATTGCCTATTTTTAGGGAGTTGATCTCTGCTGGGAAGAACAGGGAAAGGCAGTATGTTTGAGGCAAAAAAAAAAAAAAATGTATTTTGTTATCTTAGGGCTGCTGGTGTAATGAAATCCCCCTGGTTAGGGACTGGCTACAGAGGGAGGGGTCTGTCAGTATTTTATGTACTAGAGGTATCCTGGGTAACCTGGATGCCCCTTTTTTTTAAGGTCTAGAGTGAGAGGTTTTCAGAAGTTCATATATTGATGGGATATATGTGAACAAAGTATCTGTGTATGCAAGGAAAAAGGCTTTTGCAGTATTTTGTATCCTGATGGATCTTGGATTTAGGGGTGGAGAGAAGCTGTTTTTAGTGTATTTATCCCTATGTATAAAGAGGCAGCACAAAGGAATGGGAGATGAACGATGAAGCCATCACTTTCTTAGAACACTTTCCCATTATCTCATCAGGTCAAACCCTTTAGAGAAATTTGGGGTGAGGAGGAGAGAGTGGTTCTTTCATGCCTTGGGTATTGAACCCTGCCCCAGACCAAACAAAATCACCAATAGAAAACCTCCCTGCCCTGCTGGACCTATAGTCCAGGTATTCAGATGGAAATGTAGATATACTCTGTAAACCTACAGCAAGATTATTTTTATCAACCATGTTGTGTGTAGAAGCAACAGTGTGTTTTCATGCAGAAGTATTGCTAAAGATTTTTAAAACAATAGACATTGCGTGCGTGCGTGCGTGTGTGTGTGTGAATGGGAACATTTAAGTCCAGACTCTAATGGGAGCCCATGTGGCATGCGCTCCCTGTCTTCAGCACAGTGCTGTTTTACTGCCTGAAATTACATTGGAAGTACACTTCAAAAAGATTCTGCTATTTTGTTTCTATCCATGAACTTTGCTGTAATTGGTTATGCCATATAGGATGTCACAATACCACTGGTTTTAAATAAAACCTATTTTTCAGACTTACTGGACTGCTGGTGCTTATAAACCTGTGCTGAGTTCAATGGTCCATTTAATGGAGTTAGTTATGTAATGTTTTGGATTCATACAAAATCTTTTGTGATGATGGCCAAGGCTCCTGCTCATCAGTCTTGCTTCACTTTGAAATCTGGCTTCTCTGGCTGATACAGAGCCAGGCAAGACCTAACCCGTGAACGTTGTCAGCCAGTGAAAGTCTGCCTTCATTTCCTGCTCACCTTGGTTAGCAGAAATGTCAAAAGTGTTTATCCAACCTAATAATCCAAGGTTTTGCTGCTGCTATAGAAATGGGCCTTGTACAAATGTGTATCAGTTGTAATAACAACTGTTCACCTGTGCATTTGTAGACTTAATCCGTCCCCTCTCACATTTTTCAACCCTTCCTGTATCTCATTGTGCAGTACTTACAACTTGGAAATTTTAACTAATTTGCTCCAGCGCCTGAGGACTGAGTCTTTTATAAAATAAAACTGAGAGCCTTTGTTCAAAACCACGACTTACGAACATGAACACCAACACCAGCATATGGATGCTGCTTCTTCAGCAAGTAAACAGAAGGAGAGACCAGTGCAGAAAACGGAAAACAAAATCCATACTCCACCCAAGAGTCTCAGCCATGAACTGGAGTAAGACAGCTCTTCACAAAACAGTGGGATGCCCTGACCCTGGATGGCTTCCTATAAGTTCATCACGGGGGCACAGAAGGGAATTGGTCAGGTTTTATACACCAAGGTGCCCCCGGGGGTTACAAGAAATAATGGCCACAAGCTAGCAGAGAGCAGATTTAGATTGGACATTAGGAAGAACTTCTTCACAGTTCGAGTGGCCAGGGTCTGGAACGGGCTCCCAAGGGAGGTGGTGCTCTCCCCTACCCTGGGGGTCTTCAAGAGGAGGTTAGATAAGCATCTAGCTGGGGTCATCTAGACCCAGCACTCTTGCCTGCCTATGCAGGGGGTCGGACTCGATGATCTATTGAGGTCCCTTCTGACCCTAACATCTATGAATCTGACCCATTTATCTAAAAACCTAGGGCATAGATCACTTCTCTGGGGAGCAGGAGACTTTTTTTTCTTCTGGCTGAGGGGAGTTGCACCCACATCTCTTGCGACCCAGGAGAGTCTTTAACTGCCAAGGTATAGGGTATTTTGGAAGCTGTGGAAGCTTTCATTTTGTATTAATCACCTTGACTGGCACCTGTCTTTTTTCCCAGCTACTCTGGGAGATGTGGGTCCCAGGCAGGGCAGGGATTCAAGCCCAGATTTTCCCCATTTGATTTTTATGGAAGGAAGACAACCAGCCCCTCTTTCCCCCATGCACCCACTACAACTTGCATTGTGTTGTTTGCTGTGAGACTGCCTGCAAGATTTGGTCCCTGCAGGGCAGGTAGGTGGGGAATCCTCTTTATTTGAAACTGGCAAGTAGGTATAAGGAAAACATCAGCATTGTCTGGACTTCAGTGACTTCATCTGCCCAATGCCAGATAATTAGGCATGTAGGGAACTTAACAAGTGAAAAATCGCATTCAGAAGTAGGCAACAGCTGAGCTGGAGGTCTGAAGACCTAAGTTTTGGATTTAAGCAGCTGCCAATTCAGGCACGCTAGTCTTTTTGTGACTCTTGGCTCTTCGAGATTTATTTTGTTATCTTGTCTGTTCTTTTCTTCCTTGTAAAAATCTGAGCAGGGAGGAAATACATCCCAGATTAATTTACTGTTCTTACTCTTCATCTGTGCTCCTGTCTTAAGAGCAGGCTGTGGATGTCGGATGCCAGAGTGCCTCCTTTTTCGAGCCAGTGGGAAATCCCAGCACGCTGAGAGTCAGCCAGTGAGCTGCTGTGCTTTTAATGGACTTATTTCCTGATGGCCTGACTATTGCTGGAATCTCTCAAGCCTTGACAGTTTATGGGTTGTTGCAGAAGACAATCAAATATAATGCATCACTTTTCTTACTCAAAACCTAGAAACAACATTAAAAATTAACGTATGTTTTTGTGTGTTTGTGGGGCGGGGGGAGGAATAAGTTATCTTTTTTAATGTAGCAAAAGGTTCTGTTCTAGGACTGCTAATACATAGAAATGGCTTTGGGAAAAAGGGCTGAACGTTGGCCTGTCAGTTGTATAAAAAGCGCTAGTTGGAATTGGAAGATAATGTTCAGCAATAACCAGGTAATGCACATGGAAATTGCTTCTTGGAACCACATCTGCACTGCTGGACTCTGAATGAACTGTACCCACTTGGGGAGAGGAAGGAGGGTATGTCACTAAGCTGGTATAGTGGTCAGAAAGCAATGTTGTAGACCAGTGGGAATCGACCTTTCTGGCAGGTGTGCCACAAGTTAGTCCCACACCCTCCCTAAGTGCCACTCCAAACCCTTTCCCCTGCCCACTCCACTGCTCTGCTTTCTGCTCCCTCTTGCAGCTGTACTGCCTGTCCCCTTCCAATCATGACATGGTGGCAAGTGCTGCAGGCTGGCCACCCCTGTTACAGACTAAACCACAGGAGGGGGAATGTCACAACATGTAGCATGCAACTTTGAATACTTTGTGCCATTTTCATCAAGTCTCGTGGGCTGGGGGTTCAGAAGGAGAAGAGGTTCAGATGCAAGAAATGAAAATGGTTAGAAATGTTATGGGACATCCAGGAGACACATCAGGAGCGATGGGACTACGTTGGGAGGAAGGTAATAAGAAAGAACAGGAGTTCTTTAAAAAGATTGTATGTAAAGTAAATTGTGGTTGCTTTTGTTCAATACAAGAACAAGGGCACAGCCAAAGACATCAAATGACAGATTCAGTGCTGATTAAATGAAATACTTTTTTAAACGAGATGCAAAATTAATCTGTGTAATGCCTTGGGACTAGTTTTTATGGAGACCTTGAAGTTGATAAAAGGTAAAGACCAACTTGGTGTTTTTAGGAATGTAAGTGAACAGTCTCGTGGTACTGAAGTGTTTTAGGAGGGTTCAATGCTTCAGGGAATAAACCCAGAGGATGCTTTGCTTATGGGCAGGTCATTCTATTGCATGAAGTTTCTTGGACCTGCGTTTGAATTCTTTGGTGCTGGACAAGATGGACCGACCACTGGTCTGATGCAATACCTGTTCTCCTGCAGCTTTTTGTGGAGACCTGTTTTAACTTGATAGGGCACATCCTGACGAGCGTGCACCTGCAGTTTGTGGCACCTCGAGCAGTTCAAAGTACCACAAACCGCACCTGCACCCATTCGCGGCACTGCTAATTTGCAGTGCAGTGCAGTGCAGTTTTTAGCACTGGGAGATCCCGGTGTCAAAAAACCCTGCCATGGAAAAAAGCAGTATGGCACACATGGCAGCAGCATGTTCTACCAGAAAGGGAGCCTGGCTGGCCAGAGCCACTCTCTGGTTGCTGGCCAACCTCCAAGTGGCCAGCTCAGCACCACTGCTGCCCCAGGAGTCCCCCAGGACCCCAGGTAGGGCAGCTGGGGCACAGCACAGGTGCTGGCCCCAGCCTCCCCTCCCCTAGGTCACTTTGCCACGCACTGAAGCATGTGTGCGGGGGCATCTGGGGACAAATAGCAGCGTTGCTATTTGTCCTGTGGGAAATGCATGCCCCTGCATGTGCATGCTCATCAGGATGTGCCTTTAATTGTTAAGAGTTCACTGCTCTCACTCCTTTGTTGTGTGGTTCCTACGTGTTTTGTATTTGTGTGGCTTGTTTAAAAAAAAAAAACAGTTTTCCCAAAGTTTTAGAATTAAAAGCCAACAAACAAAAAGCTTAGAACAGCTCCCTTGGTAATAATTCCTCCTCTTCTTCCATTTCACTTCCAAACTTTCAGATGGAAATCAGGTGCAAATTGCAATAGCTTTAAATATGTGACCCCTTCAGGTGCTTGTGCTGCCCTTCTGGCTTCCTAGCTCAGTGTTTTACAAAATTCAAAACAGCAACAACCAAATACACACCAATTCTGAAAGCAATACTCAGTGGCAGGACCTTGATAGTGCCCTCATCCCCCTGCTTGGCCTGATACAGGGTTTTTGATGTTTTGGGCATTATGCCTAGCAGTTGTCCATGAGAGCTGTTCCCTGCTTGGGGTGGTTTAGACAGGGATGAGCCTACCTTGAGCAGGGGGGGTTGTATTAGATGACTTCCTGAGGTCCCTTCAAGCCCTTCTTCTCTGATTTTATGATTCCTGTAATGTATCTAGATACTTCCCATTTCAGAATAATGATTTTGAGAGCAAATTTTCTTCCAGGATTCCCACTGTTTGAAGCTAAAAGCTCAAAGACATGTCTATAATAACGTACCAACATATCCTCTATAATATATGCTCATACACAAAGGCTAATAAGCCTGTGAAAGCTTATGGATTATGTCTATTTTTGTATATGTGGGAGGCAGTATTTCTCAGTATGAAGTGCAAACAAGAAGAAAGATGTGAGAATGCTAAGAAGGGGGCACCATCGAGAAGAAGTGAATCCAAACAGACTTAACAACGTAGAACATGAGGAGTTCTGACATTTGTAGCATGTTTAAATAAACTTTGTAGTATGGCTAACCTGGGGCTCATGCCTCTGTAGAAAAAAGCTCATTAATGCAGTGTGCAGAGCAAACCATGGAGCTGTTGTCTTCAAGGGCAGGCTCCAAAGGGAATGAGTCTTGCTGTTTCACGATCACATTTAGTATTGGTGTGTACACACTCTAAAAGCTGGGTGGATGCTCTAAGGGTTTCAGTTGCCCTCATTTACTAAAGCAATGGAGCAGTTTTGCAGGTGTCTTCAAGGGGCAAGTCTGAGTTGGGCTACAAAAGCTCTGTCCCACTGAGCTTCTAGCAACGAGTCTGACTGGAATAATCAACAGGATGCTACGAGAAGTGTAGGAAGGATTATTTAGGTAGGACCCGGTGGTCACTGCCTCTGGCAGGAATTGTGGCTGCAACCAAAGCACTGCTTTACGCTTATAAAAAAAACCAAATGGAAGGGTGGCACATTCACTAGATCCAAAAGCTCATCATGCCATGAAGTCTCTGCTTCCAGGAAAATGGCCCCTTATATGAGGTACGTTGTTTTACTGGTCTCAGGTGGCTCGGAAGAACTTGGCAACATAAATGTTCTTTGCCTGTCTACAATTAGAAAAGCTAAGGGGCTAGACCAGACGCAAGGACCAGAAAGCCTGGCTTTAGCTTCTTGAGGTCTTGTCTGGCCAAATTAAAGCCGACGTGCCAAATAGCTCTCTAAATGCATACAACCTACACCGGGAGGCAGCAAATGAGATGAGCTGCATGGAGGCAGGAGAGCAGTAGGCATGGCTGGGAGCTAGAATGATCCTTGCTGAGCTCTTCTACAGACTGCAGTCAAAACTGATTTTGAAGGGCAGGGAGGAGCCCGGCTGCCTGGCAGAGGTACATATGATGCCACCAAGACTGCTTTCAAGTCACAGGAGTGCCCACCTGCGCTCTGCTGCCAGCCTGGGCCCAGGAGCTTACCAGAACAACAACCATAGCTCGTTAATCCATTAGGTGTTGCTGTGGCCCCCAGACTTAACTGCCTCACATGCTTCCTAGTCTCCCCTTGGTCTTCTCTCCAAGGTCTTGAGACTTCAGGCATTTCTTCGTGTACTACAGAACAGTCCCCTGGTGTCAGCTGTGATCATCCTGGCTGCTCTGGTGTGGGCTGGTCCCTGCAGGTCTTTTCTCACAGGGGAAGTGCCAGTACTGATCAAACAGCTTCCTTGGAGCAAAGTATTGATTTACAACAAAGTGTTTCACAGTCAGCAGATCTCAAAACCAGTGATGCCTCATAATCACCTCTGAGGATTGTGCCCATCCCCTAGATGTGGAAGGGCCGAGTCCTTCTGATTTTCTCCGCAGTCTGCTTCATCTTGGCCACTTGGCTGCTGATTAGTGAGTCCCTCTATCCCCTCAGACTCCAGAAAGGCTTTTTAACTCTAGTTGTCTTTTGGTCTCTGCATCCTGCCATGCCAAATTGAAGCTTACAACAGCAGGCAGAATCTTTGAAGCTAATGGCTACTCCCACTGGTTGGTTGTGTTTTGTTTCAAGCATCCTTCTAGGTGTTCCTATCAGAGGAGTCATGCTTTTGATTAGCTGGGTTCCCTGTCCTCAGCTGGTGGTTAATTCAAGCATTACGGCATCTATTAAATATTTGACCACCCCTCTCCGAGTTATACAGTCTCGCTCAGTAACTAGGTCGCCAATCAATATTTTAAGGGAGCTCCTGCAGCATTTGTAACATGATGATTACACACCACTCTGTTTCTGCCCCTGGGATACTCCCATTTCAACTTATCCTTTGCACAAGTCTGTTCTGACAAATGTTTGTATTATGTAGGAAACTGTATTTTCCTCCTTTTCCCTCTGTCTGGCCAAGCACAAAAAAAGCAGCTCTCTGTCTCTGTGCATCTACTTCATTAGGAAAGCTAAAGTTAAGCACTGGGACTGGAAAGATGCTGAAGATATTCGGCTTTTTAGGCTGGGTGACTCAGATGCCCCAGTATCTGCAGGATTAGGAGTTCAAAACTTTCCCTCTCTCCACTCAGAAAAAAAATGTAACCTGAACTCTCGCCCTTCATGCAGGACCTAGCGCAGGGAAAGCGGGCAGCTTTTGGTATGAACTTTGGTCCAAATCTGGCCTCTACTTCTCAGCTGGAGTGATCCAAAACATGCAAATATTAATTGACCTGTTCAAGCAATGACTGTGCTGAGGGCAGACAGATGTAAGCGCATTATGGCCCAAGGTTCCTTTTATTCAAGGCCCACGTTGCACATTACAAATAGAGTGGGCCTCATTAACACCCTCTATGGTAGGTCATTATATATATATTTAATAGAGGTGGGGAAGAGCAGACAGGGAGAGAAGTGATTTGGTTGGGGTCATACAGAGCCAGTGGCCAAGCTTGAACTAGACCCCAGATTTCTTGGCGTCCACAACACAATCCTCATCCACCTATGGCAGAGTCTTGATTTTTACAGGACCTGATGTAACAACATAAAGGAAATTTTAAATGAAGGGAGAGTGCACTGGTGGACAAGGGGGAAGGTTTCAGGAATCCAGAGATCCCCAGTGTGAACAGCAGCTTCCGGTTCCACATTTTGCAGGCACCTGCCAGCTGCTGCTTAACTCCTTGGACAGGAGAGGACTCGGAAGTGCTGCATGAGATAGAGGTGTGTCCAGCCTGGAGGACTGTGCTCCTCCCTACTGTAGGGAGGTCCCACAAGTACCTGTACGAGGTAGAGGTGTGTCTGTGAAACCTGATGCCTCGTCACTGGGCTGATGTGGGGGCGGAGAGAGGAGGGACATCCCATCCTGCACAGGGCAGTTGAAACTCAAGAAGGAAACTGTCCAGGACTGTCCTCCCAGGCGAAAGGAACAATTAGGGAATTTCGCCTCCCCCTCGCCCCCCCCCCAGAAGCATCAGTATAGTCCTGTGCGCTGGGGGGACGTCACTCCAGGACCCAGGAGACCATGAACATGTCAAAGAGAAAAGGGTTCTACAGACAGGAAGTAAACAAAACTATCTGGGAGCTGCCCAGAAGATACATGTCCATCATCCCCGTGGGATCTGGGGCTTATGGCTCTGTCTGGTGAGTGGGTCTCGTTTTTCCTTTCTCCAAGGGTCCTGGCAAGTGGGAGGGAAAGAACAGGGTGGTCAGAGCTTAAAGCATAGGCTTATGGGAAGAAAACAAGGGAGGTGCCTCCTTCTGCTCCACCATTGTGAAATACGTCTGCATGTTAGGCGAAGAAGATGGCTGTTGTAACTTCTTTGACTTCCAGGTTGAGCAGCTGTTAGTTTGCATGTTAGGGCATTTACTGCCTGAAGAGCTGGGCCTCCCTGTTACACAATCGGTACGCTTTCTGCTGGGGTTACCCCGGACGACAGGGAACAGAGTCTCTTGGCTTGGCTTGTT